TCTCTCTCTCTCTCTATCTCTCTCTCTGGTCCCACCCCAGTGGTGGGCAAAGGGTTGCTCCTATATTACGTCTCCATCCACCCATGAGTAGTTGACTAAAAGGGGAATACAGGATCTAATAAACGAACAGTTCATCCCGTTCTGTCGATACACTCTCTCTCTCTCTCTCTCTCTCTCTCTCTCTCTCTCTCTCTCTCTATCTCTATCTGTCTGTCTGCCTGTCTATCTCTACTCTAGGCCCTATATTATATCTTTGTATCTCAATCGCTCGCTCGCCTGCTCTGGTTGTGTGTGTGTGTGGTTTTTTTCTCGACTCTAAGGTCGGCAAAAGGGAGATAACTCTGGGTCGGCCTCACACATAGAGTGTCACCAGAGAGGTGTCATTCGACACGTCACGCGGGTGAATAGACACGGGTCACGCGTGTAAGCAAAAGTGTTCAGTATAATTTGAGCCTACGGCACTCCTCGCAGTTGCCTCACGCTAGGCTAGTCACGTTGTAAAGCGTGTGTTCACGTGAGGGTAGGAATGTGCATGCTGATTCTTTTTGTTTGAGCCGTGTCTTGCCAGCCCCTGCGTTGAGCACAGTTGTGCTAAGAGCGCTAGCAAACTGTCTTGTTGAAGCGTAGATATAGGCTACAGATAGACCTGCCCATTATCAAGTGTGCTGCTAAAAATGGATGAATATAAGAAATCTATTATAGAGTTTGTGAGGGGCCATCCCATCATTTGGGACTCCACCAATAAAGATTACAAGAACAGAGACCAACGTAAACAACTGTGGGAAGATATTGATTCTCAAGTGAAACCACCAGCTGGTGAGTTTATTCATTAACTCAAACCCATCCATCCACCCTTTCATCCATCCATCCATCTATTTAATTCGGTTATCATGTTATGAACTCCCGTAATCAAGAAAAAGCAGAAATTATCATTTGCCTCATTATAAGCACGAACGTTTCTGAAAGCAACGCCATCCTTGCCATTCCAGCCCCATTGGAGTTAATTTAAAAAGTGCACATTCTACCTCCGATGGCATTCGCTGTAAGAGGGAGTAGACCATTTGCAGTTACTGGATCTCTGATCTCATGGGAAAGTGTAGATGTCCTGTCCACCATATGTCCATCTCGCCGTGGAATGAAGTTGTGGAGAGTCGCGGCTGCATTTGTAATGAGAATGGCCTTGTCGGGTTCGACCAACTCTCTGGTTCGACTATCACAGGCCTTTGAAATACATTGTAGGCAATTTCAAATTTACAAGCTAAAATTCCAAAAGGCACGCTCTACTGAACTTCGAGCACGCGAATGCCTGTAGTTATATAGACTCTCCTTTGTTCATTTAGTGTTCTAGCTGAAAAGGGCTTCATCAGGTATTGTTTAATTGTGAATGCTTCGTCTCCTATTATTATTATTATTATTATTATTATTATTATTATTATTATTATCACCATCATCAAAAGAATCTCGATGTTCAATTCACAGATTTTGAATTTTATTTCAGGGATGTTCAATTTCAATTGTTTTTCTTCAAGAAGCACAAAGGAAAGCGAGAAGCATCATATATAGTATCATATAGACACCAGTATCACTGACCTTACCGTACTGACCACAGTCCACTGATATTAAACACGAATGAGCGTCACACGGTGCCAAAGTACAATACTAGGGAACTTCTTACAGATGAAACTGACATCCACTGTTTATGGGGTTTTTTTTATAGCTTAATATGTTTTCCATCCAAAGCACCGACGGCGAAAGAAAACCCCCACAAGTCACCATATCGTTTTGCAAAGTTTTTTTTCCCATTGTTCTGCTGGTGGGATAGGCAATTCTAGTGTCTGTAGTACTTTCCAGTTAACATGCCGAGAAAAATACATGTTTACTAATTGAATTTGCTGCCATGTGAAAAGGAAGGGGTCAGCTCATGTTCCCCCAGTAAGTAGAGAAGCTTTGGTTGAAGGAAAGCAACTGCGTTTGAGGCCAAAATATGACTGCAGTCGCTTAAACACTTGTCAGATCGACCAATAAATTGCTTGACCACTAGTCATATTGACATTGCTTGACCACTTGTCGAGTCAGGCCATTGCTTGTCCACTGGTCAGTCTGACCACTGCTTTACAACTGGTCACTTTAACATGACGTAGCATGCAACTTGACTGGGGAACATAGACATGCTCCTAAAGGGAACACTCAGATGCCTGAAAAAATATGATGCATACATAAATACATGAATTAATACTAAGCCACGCAAAACATATATACAAATTCCATTGTAAGTACTATTATATATTATAGTATGTTCTTCTTTTCATAGGTTCAAACACTCACGCCAAAGATACTTGGGAAAATATGACTCGCAGCTTTTCGAATGCCCTCAAAAGAAAAGACAAACGATCTGGTAGTAGAGCAGGCAATGACAAAGAATGGAAGTTCGAGAAAGATATGATGTTCCTCCTGCCCGTGAAACAACTACGCTACACTTCAGGCTATAAGCCAGAGACAAGTGAGCAAACCAACTTTGATGATTGCCAAGACAATCCTCAATCACAGACATATACCGGTGTCGACAATACCCCAGATGGCGACAACAATCATCTGGAAAATCTTCCCGATGCTGGTAGACAGAAATTCGAAAAAGCACACAAGAAGAAAAAAAGAAAACAAGCATGTACAGATAATGAGGACACTAATTACTTAATCAAGCTTGTTAAGCAAAGACAAGTGGAAAAGTTGGATGACTCCCCAAGACTGAACTTTTTTAGATCAATGATGCCAATAATTGATTCATTCGACGATGATCAGTTCATGAACTTACAGATGGATTTTATTCAAGCCGTCCAAAGGCAGAAACATGTTCGTCGGTTTCCACACACGTATGAATACCCGGCGCAGTCAGATTCTTCTGCAGATTCATAGCAGACATCAACTAACTACGGCTATTTCCAGAATTTATCAATCAATCTACACGTAAATTAGATCCAACAGAATTACAGAAAACAGCAGTGTACTTTTGTGCAAATAGACCTACATTATGATACACGTGTACTGATTATGTTCAACTTTATTACAAAGGTTCTTAAAACAAGACATTCGATTATTAAGGTGTGTGATGAAACAGCTGTTGTTGTTGTTGTTGCTGTCGTTGGTTTTGATGATGTTGTTGATGTTGTTTTTGGTAGTGATGATGATGATGATGATGATGATGATGATGATGATGATGATGATGATGATGATGATAAAGGTAGTGGTGGTGTTGTAGGTGTTGGGGGTGATGATGATAATTGGATTACACATTTAATTTTGTGTACCTGCAATGAGTGCTAGTAGGCCTACATATAATGTACTAATTTTTCCTCCGCATATATACATGATGTATTATCAATATCATGGCTCCCGCCAGTTACAACCCATCGGTTGAAAATTTTGCAAAACGAGTGGTTTCACTCATCATAAGTTTGGTAGGACATGCGCAAATAGTTGAAGAACAAAGTTTCATCCTTGGGCTCCATCTAAGACTTGGATAAATTCTGTGAAATTCGCCTCTTGGTGGTCTGGGGAGAAAATGGGCACGGATCCATTTGCTCGGCTTTACCATTGTCAACAATGCCTCTTCATCAGAGGTACATGTATCCATTTTCGTCGCCTGGCAGGGCGTGAGGGGATGACAGAACCTAGATTCTATGTGATCAGATAAAGTGAGGTGTGTCGTTTTGCATGCGTGAAGTTAAACGTGACTCGTGCCCGCCTCACTTAGAACGTGACATTTCACGCGTCACGTTTTCTACAGACATATGCAACATTAGGCCAGCCCCACAAAGAGCGTCTCTCGACACGTCACGAGGGTGAATAGACACGTTCACCAGTGTAAGCAAAAGTGTTGAGTATAATTTTAACGGCACTCCTCGCGTAAGCAGTTGCCTCACGCTAGTCACGTTGTAAAGCGTGTGTTCACGCGAGGGGAGGTATGTGCATGCTGATTCTTTTTGAGACGTATCTTGTCACCCCCCTGCGTTGAGTGGAACAGTAGATGTGTGCTAAGTCTAGCCGTAGCAAACTGTCGAAAAAGCATGCAAGCAGAAAAAAGAAAACACGCATGCACAGACAATCAGGACACTAATGGATGACAAAACCTAGATTCTATGCAATCAGATAAAGTAGTGAGGCGTGTAATATTGCATGTCTGTAATAAAACGTGACACGTGAAAGGTCACGTTCTATGTGAGGCGGGTTTCTACTCATTCATTCACACACAAATACCTTACTCACCCCTTCGACCTTCACCCTCGTAGGCTACTGGGAAGGCTACCTCCGTACTTCGAAACTCAATCATCGTAAGTGACGATCTCAACACTATTCTCTTCTCTCATTCAAAGTATCTTAATGGCATCTTATCCCCCCCCCCCATCTGTCTATAAGTTCATCTGTCGAATATGTCTCTATTTTATCTTTCTCCGACACCAAATATAATAATAATACATCATCCCACTCTACCCCCCCCCCTCTCTCTCTCTTTCTCTGTGATTGGTTGGCGGGTGCTCTGATGTGGTTTGCTCCTTTTTTCCTAAAACATCTTTATTATATTAAAATACATGTAGATCGATCGTGCGTATCTCTCCTTTTTGTGTTTTTTACTCTCTTGTAACACCTGTAGTAAGTCTGATTCACTGTAAGGACTTCTCTGTTGACATCCACCCATTGGGGCTCATATGACCGTATGCAGTTGCGAGCGCCGTAAAACCTCTACTAAAACAAATAACACCTGGAGATCTAATCTTTGGCAATTATACCTCATGTGTTGCAAGTGCCGAAAAAATGCTTATTAAAACAAAATCAGACAACAACAAAACTGTCTGTCTGTCTCCCTCCCTCTTCGATTCTCGTAAAACAATGCCCCCCCCCCCCCCCCCCCCACCCACCAACATTTTCCACCCCATGTTATTCCACCTTAGACAGAGTATAATATAAGTATAATATATTCATCTCTGCGAGGACACGGACGTTCTCCGCAAGTTTGTGACAACTGTCAGGTCACAGCGAGGCAAATCTTCCATCGCCGTGCAAGTAGAAGTAGAGGATGACTTACCACGAGTAATTTACTATAGTAATACAGTGTATGAACCATTGTATTTTACCCCTTACTACTCTGAAAAGGAGATTCTACGGTGTAACCTCATGAAATTGGTTTTACTTTTGCGGCGTTTGCACTCTGGTTTCTCTTCTCATGGACGCTGGCAAAAGAGAGAAAATAGCTAAAAAATCTACACAAATTCAGTGTTCTGTATTTCTTTGAAGGTTAAAGGAATTGAAATAAAATTAATCGATTTGTGTGGTACGCTAGGTCGCCACTGACATGGAAAACCTCCTTTCTCTCCTTCAGCTTCAATACACAAAATATAATATCTGTTGTCTGTCTTGTTTGTTTTTCCCCCAGTGCTAAATACGGTGTGCTGCAGACTTCGATCTAGTCCTAAGCCTAGCTACATGAATGCGTAATGTGTCATGCGCAGGCCTGCCACACTACCCATGAATAAATACAGCTGGATCTGTCCACAAATGCTTACTTACCTTGCATTTCTGATTTAACAGGGATCTGATATAACACATTAACAGGAATTTTTCTCTGGTCCCACCTTCCCTGTTATATCAGTTACCACTGTAATTAACAATGAAAAGAACAACAAGTAACTTCAATGATTTTATTCTTCTTTTCGAAAATAGTAAAAACAATAACAATGCTGATAAACACCAAGAAGATTCACAGGAAGAACAGACCATGATTCGGTATGAATTAAATAACACAAGAACTAATTATCATTGTGGTACAATCACACACTAGATCTTTTGTTAGTTTTAGTAAGGTTTTTACGGCGCTCGCAAACTTAAGGTCATATAAGTGCTAAGAGGTGGATGTGAACAGAGAAGAATGGGGAATCAGGCTTACTCTGCTCACCTCTCTAGCTTCAACAGCACAAAGTCTGCTTCGACCATCAAGGCACCCCAGAAATAGCGGGTCACAAGAGAGTGACAAACATACAAAAGAAGTAGAGGGAAAATGCTTGAGGAATACCCAATACAAAAGTACAAGACATACCAAGAGCAGCCATATGGTCAGCAGAGCCAGACCCCTTTGAGACAACTTTTATTGGAAAATAATAGGCACTTTGACAGACTTGTATGTGATATGGCGGTATCATATGAAAAAACGAGGAATAAGAAACACTAACACAAATCATAGGAAAAAATCAATAAAAATCTCTTTCAGACTGCAGGGATATTGTATTCCACTCACTCTGGATTGGCCCTGACAGGCAGGACATCAAAGCAACCCACCTCTATTTATTTAATCAAATTTGATTACATGTTAGCAAAAAGCATTTACAAAAATTTGCAATCAGTCTATTCCATTTGAATGTAAAAAATTAAATCAAAACAAGTTCCAGTTATTTGTTGACAATATTTAACAAGTGAGTTGGACGTACACAAGTAAGTAGTACAGTAGAACTCGGATTCAACGAGAACTTGGATTCTACGAGATGAGATAGATTCCCCGTTTTTTTTTTCTTCTTTAAAATCAATAAAAATAACTCGGATTCAACGAGCACTTATATCAGCGAGCTCGGATTCAACGAGATGAGATAGATTCCCCGTTTTTTTTTTCTTCTTTAAAATCAAAGAAAATAACCCGAATTCAACGAGCACTTAAATTAGCGAGCTGGGATTCAACGAGGTCGCTTCCAGTGTGAACAGCCCCCGCAGACAGGGTTTCGCTAATTTTTCTCCCAGAACGAACTTTATCTATTCTGGAAAACCATCCATTGCACCTGCATTGTGAACCATTATTCATTTAGCTGATTGGATGCGATGAATCAGCGGCCCTTTTTCATACCAACACATGCGTTGTTGGCACGCGCACATGTCTACTCTGGCCTGTGTTGGGGTCGGATGGGCGACCTGCACATGTGTGGCTGTGTGTGCGTGTCGGGGAGGGGGCACTAGCGGTCCAGGTTTTGAACGTCGCAGGTACAAACGCGTCACAGTCTCCCTCCCCCGCCGTGGCAACTGATCATTATTACAATGATAAGCTAGTCTTGACGTAGATCTACGTAATGAATTGTTCCCTGGTCTATGAAATCAAAAGTTGCCGTATGCTAGGCTCTACACAGGAACACAACTTTTTAGTAAACAATCGAGATGACACAGGCGTGTGCATTTGAACGAATCGGTCTTTTTTTTACACAGCTCGCAGGCATTTCAGGCACTACTTGTGACTTCTCTTTATGCACTACATGTATTTGCTCAGTGCCTGTAATTAACTCCACAAAACCTCGTGTTTGCCATAACAAACACTTGGATTCAACGAGATTTTAGGTCAGGCCCGGCGACCTCGTTGAATCCGAGTTCCACTGTACCGTACTGCAACTGCAACTGTTGTGCACCACGAGTGCTAAGTTATTTTATTGTTAATAAAACGTTCTAGAGGACCTCAAGTCTCTCATTCCTGCTGCTTTTTTGAAAATTGCCAGAAGATTAAAAAAACAACTTTCCATATATTCTTAATCTTATTTTATTTATAATTTATATTAATACTGAGCAAAGAGCATGATTCTCACAGAATTGGTTTTTTTTTAACGAAACTTTTTCTTTTTTGATCTTTTAGCCATTGCCCTGTTCTCTAGCAACTGCTTCCTTGTGATCTGAAGAAAAAAAAGTCAGTGTTACACATTATAAATATAATATAAATAATAAATATAATGTAAAGCTTGACACTGTGTGTGGACTGAATCATAAGAACTATAGAAGAGCCTTTACTTTCACATATTTAGAAATTCAACATTCAAGTACCAGTATAAATGATGGCCATTGTAACAGACTATGTGTATCAAAACAGTCATAGTGATTTATAAGAGTGTGATGGAGATAACTTTCAATCTTGGATCAATCTCTATAGAATCTCACAGAAGAACCCAATGACTCAAAAGTCCTCTCTCACATCTGCACAAAGTTTCCCTCATGCAAAAGAGCATGCTCCATTGTTGATTAAAAATTTATGTCTAACTCATGGTACAAATGTATTTTAAGTTCAAATACACAGGGAAGTCTGAAAGTTTCTCATGTTTTCCTGAGATGAAAATTTCCATGTAAACTTCAGGAGACATAAAAAAACAAAAACAAGCACACCCTTCTCAGAACTTCTCTCTCTCAACTTGACTTCTTTTCTTTCAAACACACTCACACATGACACATTTACACACAAACATAGATTTTTTTAGTTTAAAAATATACACACACATACACACAAACACTCACACATATGCACACACACACACTCATAACATACAAATACAATCACGTACACACACAAAGGTGTACGCACACCCTGTCAAAGCTGACGGCATGAGTCTGAAGTACAGTCAAAACTCATTACAGTGGAATCCTGTTATAACAAGAAGGAGGGGATTGGTGCGAAAAATCCGTTATAATAGCAGGATTTTCGTTATAAGGGATCCAGTAATAAATCCAAGGGAAATGATAAAATAGGCCTAATCTATGAGTTCGGTGTTCTGTTTATTTCTTTTTGATCACTCCCCTGATGATGGTTTTGTTCAACATGACCTCTTGGCATTATTATTTGATTAAAAATCGAATCAGGTTTCTTTTTCTTGCCCTACCAATGTTAACAGCTCAGCGTTGGCGATCAGAATGAATGGGCTCTGGGCTAACTCGCCCGCTGTGTTGTCCCCCACCCAACCACACCCTGTGGTGCTTTCCGTCTGCTTGCGCACATGGGTACACATAACACCCTGCCCACGTCACACATTTGTTCGATCCATCACAGCACCACTGTGACCTCTCCATCCCCGCATTGGAGAAGTGAGGGGCACAGTTGGCCTAGATAATCCAAACTAGGCTGGCCTGTCATGTGCTGCATTCTGCTTGTCTGCGCATGCCACATCCTCCCTACTCATTCGCTCAGGCTTTCATTGTTGGCACACGTGGGCTCTCTCATTCTTTGTTTTGCTAAGATCACCAACACGTTTCTCAACTGGCAAGGTTTTACATGCATAAAATTGGTCTATGCGCTGTGCAGAGAAGCAGCAGCAGCAGCAATATTCCGCCATAACCGACTTGCGTGTTTGTCTGATTACGCTATAGCAGTATTTTATTTACAAAGATAAAGAAGGAAAAGAAACGGGGTTATAGAATAGTGTCTTTATAAGTGGACTCCACTGTCTACAGTCAAACCTGCCCTGACGGCCTCCTTTATAATATGACCACCTGTTCAAACGGCCTCTTTCCATTCCACCCCTTACATTTTTAAAATAATATAATAATTCAACTGTGTAAAACGGTCACCTGTCCAATGCTGCAACGGCCACCTTATTTTATCAACCCACGGTCAAATTTACCTGCCTGAGACGGCCAGGCATGGTTACTCATTGCCCGACGCTTTGTCATAAATTTTGATTTGGCACCATACGATGTGGACGGGTTGTCATTTAACATTTCACCTGTCAATGTGTTAGTCCCTCCATTTACCCAAGTTGACCAATGGGTAGCAATAAATTTTCAACTGCTGGTGAGGGAAGCGTGCGATTCGTCAAAACCTATAAGCCTCGCCCACAACTCATGCACAAATCATATGTGAGGCAACTGGTCACTGTTTTGTTTACCTAATCTGTAACAAAGTAACAATAAACGTTGACATGAACTTGCGGCAGAAGCATCGCTTGTTCTCTGAGTGGTGGCAACCCATGTGTTTCTTTTACCATGACACTCGATCTTCACCATCTTACATATATTTCGTTTATTTAACCCTTGCACAAAATCAGCTAAAAAAAAAAAAGCTAAACAAAAAACAAATCAACAAGACAACAACAAAACCCTTCTTACATCTCTTCACCCCCACCCAACTCCCCCTTTCGAATGAGCCTCACGGCAGTCCAAAATCTGAGATCAGCCCCGGTTTGGATCTCAGAGGAGAATGGTTCGTTTTCTTCATTTTGATCAGTCCTGCCTAAGACAGCCACCTGTGTTAAACTGACATTTTTCTCCTTGACAATTTTACACCGGTTCAACCGTACTTTGAAAATGAAATTAGTAATTCTAAATTATTACCTCTTCTAGTTCTCCTCTTTTCTGTTCCAACAGCTCAATCTTAGCAGTGATTTGTTGAGCTTCTGAAATGTAAGAATTTCACAAGGTAATAAGCTTCATCTGTGCAATCTCTACTATACTTTTATATAGCTTTTTATGTTACCATAAAGAGACAACAAATGTTTTTGCATCTTGTGTATGGCCTTCCTGAAAAAACACAAGCCAAGAGTACACTAAGACTAAGAGTACCAGGAGAAGCTTTCAACTCACAACACATACTGTCTAATTTATGTTTTCCGCGCAATTTACCGATCGGCACTGCGCTGCGCGTTTTAACGATCGTATATTTGTCCAGCAATCTTAAGATTGCGCCGCGCGTTGTAATGATCGTATAATAGTTTTGTATCATTCTTATGAGCTCTTCCGTTTCATATCTTAATTTCAATTTGTGTCACAATGCGGTGGAATCAGGCGCTCATCAATTTTGGGGCATATATGGAGTTATTTGTATCAACTCAAAGCCTGTTCATTTGCCTTGCTTTTGATGAAAACAATATCCATTTATCTTGGATACAAGTCAATATATTAGTGATTGAAGGAGGTGGGGTTGCCAGGTTTCAGAGGTGAAATTAGCGAGAAAATGGCCACCAAAGTATGGTAACTCCAATTGCTAAAGATTAAAAATTGAAAAATGACATATTTTGAGCCTTAAATCAAAGTTTTTCAGTAAAATTCACACGCAAAGGTGTTTTTATTTGGACCTTAAAGAGGTTAAGTCCCCCCCAAAAAATTCGATAAAAATTTCCAAACTGGCGGAAAAATGCGTTTCTCCTATTTCGTTATTTTGACGAGCGCCTGATTTTTCAGATTTTTAATTTTCAGATTTTTACACTTTCGAAAATATATGTGAATGTTCCTTGATTAGAGTAAACGAATAATGATGGAAGTGAATTTTTAAAAAATATTTAAAAAATATAAAATAAATTAAATGTACTTTATGAACTTTTACTTTGATACCTGGCATTGTATCATTCTTATATGAACTAATTTTAATTTTAATTTTCATATTTTTACACTTTAAAACATTTTATGTGAATGTTCCTTGATATGAGTAAAAGAATAACACGAAAGAATAAACATGGAAGTGAAATTTTAAAAAAATATTTCAAAAATATAAAATAAATTAAATGTGCTTTGTGAACCAACTTTAATTTGATATGTAGCATTGTATCATTCTTGTGAGATCTTCAGTTTCATATATTTTAATTTTAAATTTCATATTTTATGTTGAATGTTTCTTGATGTGAGTAAAGAATAAAGATGGAAGTGAATTAAAGAACAAAATTATTTTTAAAAATATATAAAATATTAACGCAATCTTCAGATTGCCGCACGATTATACGATCGTTAAAACGTGCAGCGCAATCTTCAGATTGTCGCGCAATTACACGATCGTTAAAATGAGCAGCGCAATCTTAATTGGGCCGATCGGTAAATAGCCTGGAACATATATATGCATCATGCATAGCTTTAGCAATGACAATTAATATTATAATACAGTATATCGAATCAAGGCTAGCTTGAATTTGTCAGGACCAGCCTTGGTAGTTTGAGGGATCCGTAGTTCGGGGGATATCTTACAAAGATAAAGAAGAAAAAAAATGTGACCGTAGGCACAGTTCGACGGATGCATGATTTCGAGTCTTCTGGGTTCGACCTATCCCTGATGTAGGCCCTACTGTAATAATAATAATAATAACAATAATAATAATGATAGTAATAATAATAATAATAATAATAATAAATAATTGCACTTAGATAGATCATACATCCATGCTCAACAGCATGCTTTATGCACGTTTCAACTTTTATTACCCCAGCAGACCCTAGAATACTCAGAAACATTTCCTGGTTCCTTGGAAGCATACAGGGCAAGCAGCTGATAAAGCACTCAAACTCTAACAAACTGACATAATGTTTTGTCATCTATAGTCGGGTACCCATTCCCACCTGAGTGAAGTGAGGAAAATTTGTGTAAAGTGCCTTTCCCAAACCCAAAATGTTGGTTCAAGCAGATCCTTGAGCTCCCTAACTTGAAACCTCACAAAGATACAAATCTGGTAGTCTAAACTGCAAGATTACCTAAACCAAAAATTGTAACACCCCCCCCCCCCTCCCTCCCCAAAACAAAAACAACAACAAAAACTACAAAAACCAAAATAATTTCAGAGCCGGCAAAGCAGACCACGTCTCATGCCTAAATCATAAACTGCTCTTCTTCTGCCCACACAATCTGTGGTGTATTGAACTTAAATTCGTCTGTGCTCAAACCCCTCTTTTGTTTTACTGGGCAAGTTTAATCACTAGATGCTATCAACACAAATTTAAATGAACAATTCAGTTCATGATATCTCCTAACTTTCTCTCCCATAGTATATATATATATATATATATATATGCAAAACACCTGGGAAGGCTAGACCCTCAGGACTAGATTTGTTGTTATCACAAACTTTTGCATTTTTAAAATGCACGATGGTCAAAATTATCAATAATCCAGTCTATAAGTACTTAACAGCCAATATATACAGAAATATGGATTACCTTTCTGGATTTCTTCTATCTTGGCTGTCTCTCTCTCCTGAGCATCAAAATACCAGATTGTCATTGCATATCTGGGGACAACAGATAAGTATTTATAACACGAGAGTCTTGAGCTTCCATGCACATCATAAGAGTAAAAATCAAGAAACAAGTACACCCCCCATATTTCTGGAGATATATATGTACAATGTAGTCCAGTTCAGTAAGTTAGCACATAAATTTCCTTAGCTGAATAAACCTCTTCAATAAAGGCATAAAGAGTTGAAGACATGAGCAGCAGCAAGTCTTTATTTTGTCACTGACCTTTCCTTGAATGCTGGTTGCACCTCATGAGGGTTTCTTTTGTCTGACCAGAAGAATAAGAGCCTATTGGCCAAAGGAGGAACATCGACTGGCTTGTCTAGATGAGGTGGTAGAATACGGAGGAGTCCTCCATCTTTCTGCAAACCAAATAAATCAATTTTTTTTAAAATGGACAAAGCCTAAATAAAGTAACACCACATCGTCTGTCAGGCAGCTGTAGTCAAGGAGACTTGCCTGTTTTTGTCCAGGGCTATTTTGTTTTTAAACACACCAAGCAGATGATAAGTCAAGGCTGCAGTACTTATTTCTAGTTTGGTCAGCCCCTTCTACTTCTTTCTTACCTCTGGAGTTTTAGTATTCCCAAGTTTAATAACACCTTGCACTTTGCACTGTGGTTCATGAGGAATCATGCCTTTTGATTAACTGACTTATAGGGAAGGGAGAGCTGAAAAGTTCAATGTTAACCCTTTTTTAGTGCATCCATAATTTCAAAACTATTTGCTCTAGAGCACACCATATGGCTAGCATCTGCGTTTGTTGCCATTGTATTGTCCAAAAGTAGCCACAAAAATGGCAAAAGTTGCCATAAAAATTGCCAATAATTTTCAAACTTTCAACTCTCTGAGACGACAAATATAGCAATAGACATGTTGATAGAGGTAACTTAATCTAAATAGAACCAGAATTTCTTGTGTTCTCTTTCAAGCATCCAGAAGATTATTTGTAGCCACACAGAGTGTAAAAATATGAAAAATAAAAGTTTCACCACAGAATGAAATCAAAATTAGAACAGAACATAAAAAACACAAAAATTAACAAATTAGGCGAATGTCCATCTATCAGAAGAGTGCCCTTTTTAACCCTAAACGTGTATTATTCAAGAAAAAGTACAGGATATTACATGTAAATTATGGAATCACACACAAGGGGCCTGCCAGAGACAGTACATGTACATGTATTCGGTTTTGGTGGAGACACGCTCTCACATAACGCGCTTATTATTTTTTTTTAAAAGGTAGGAACAACATATGATCAAATTAAATTATATTGACTTTACAATAAACACAAAAAATAGAAAACACATCAGAACAATAACAAGAAAAGAAAATAACACACCAGCAAATGAAAACACAACAAAGAGAGAAAAATAAAAGAGAAACAGCAATATATAAATAGTATATAATGTACAAGACTTTTTGCTTTGCTTTTTTGCTTTTGTAAAGTGTTTTACGGCGCTTGCAACTGCATAGGTCATATGAGCGCGCGGGACACACCTAATATTTTCAGTTGGTAGGAAATTTTGAATTTTGCCCGGGTGGCGGCCGAAGCCTACTCTTATAAATCGATTTTAGACCACCAAGGGATCTTTAACGTGCGCAACTTGCACACGGGCCCTCCGAGATTTTTCGCCCTTGTCCGAGACGGCTAGGTGTAGATCTTTCCCACCAGAAGATCAGGGGTGTGGCAGAAAGACAGCAGTAAGGAGGGGCCAAGGAGTAGCAGTAGAAAGGCTGCGGAAAGAGTCAGGAGCCCAGAGGAGGAGGCAAAGGAGGGGAGGGGGTGGGGGCAGAAAGTGGAAATGAAAGCAGACAACAGAACATTGCTAGAGAGCAGGAAAGGAGGTGAAAGGAGACAATTTTAGAGAAGAAAATTTTTTGGTTGCTACCCGGATTCGAACCCGGGACCTTTGAATGAGAGGCGAACACCTTAACCTCTAGGCCACGAGAGCCCCCAAGACTTTTTAAAACATGAAAATAACAAATAAACGTGGGGTCAACAAGTAAGAAAGAGAAGAAAAGAAGTGAAAATAAACTTTCTTTCTAAAACTAAAAGTAAAGAGGTTCGGTTTCTGTTCTTTTTTTCATTTTTTATACAAAGTTTTTTCGATTTTTTATACCCCGGCGGTGAGGTTTTTGGAGAAATGCAAATAATCGCGGCCGCGATTCGCGGACCAAAAAATGCCAAAAAATCGCGGCCGCGATTCGCGGGTCCAGATATAATGGCATTCTCACAGCAGCTGTCACTCTCCTCATTGTTGTTTGCCCCTTCATTCAAATATAGCTCTTGTAGATTTCTGACCAGAGTAACCTTGCACGCTCATGACATAGAACTAGAAAAACTGCAGTTGCGAGTGCAGTAAAATGTCTACACACACACAAAAAAGGTCACCCTGTTCCCTGCTTTCTACCAGCTCCCTAAGCCCTCAAAACTCACCTGTACATCCCAGTCCCTGTTGAGGTACAATATGCATGTGATACGACGGCCATCTTTATTGGGATTGTCAACATGGCGCCTGTAATATGTCCCATTACCTGGATAGCATGCAAGCATTGCCTGGGAAAACAAAAATTAAAATTACTGTTGAAACCATCTCAGCAGACTGCCATCCATTGTCAATGAAAAAAATGGCCTTCTTAGACAAGTAGCCATCTTACACAGTGTCATTATAAATATTTAAAAAAATGCAAGGGAGGAAATGGGAAGTGGCCAGGTAGCAGTTAGAGCAGGTTCAACTTGCTTTCCAAGAACATAGCCTGACTTCAATTCAAAACAGCAGTTCTATCGACCATCATGGACTTCCTGTAATAACATGCATTTTTTTCAACCGAGATAACAGTAGTTCATTTTTGCATAATTACTTATTGCTGCAATTGCACTTCTATTAGACTCAGTTAATAAAGTTTATCAATCATTCTTGTCTTTCACCCTCCTGCTCTGATGCTGACCTACTATCAATAATTTCGGAAGTGAAATTAATTTATTAGTATTATTTAGAGTACAATGAGAAAATGCAAATAAACTGTGAACTTTCTCATTTATATAATATTTTTATATGAAAGGCAAGTTATATCATTGACGAGGCTGCTATCTACACAATTTAAAGCTAAAAAGAACATTCCTAAAAGTATTAAATAAAAACAGAGAGCAATAAATTTGACCCAAAGATTCAAACCATCACCTTCGTTTCAGACTCTCAGTCAATGCTGTGGGTACAACTGCAACTCAAAATGAAGGACAAAGAAAATTATATGTACATGAAAATATAAAATGTAACTGTTGATTGTAAGCACGAACCTGAATTCACTTACAATAACAGGAGTGGAGGATAGTATCAGATAATTCTCACATTAGACATGGTAAAAACAAACACTTGTTCAAAAAGTCATGATCAGAAAGGAAAGGGAAGGCCTACTGATAATTATACTGAACACATCAAAAGTGGAAATTTACTAGAATATAATAACAGTTAGGTTCAAGAGCATGTAACTGTATTATTAAAGCGTCCCCTTATTTGGTGCTTGCCGCAGCAAATTCTCTCATGAAAATCTCGGAAACTAAGATCATGATAATTACTTTTTTGAAGAAGTAAACATGAATATATATAAAGTTCTTCAAAGTCAAAGGTAAGCAATTTAATAAGGAAAAGAAAAAGTGTGTTGTGACATCTATTTCAATTCTTGAGAGCTCTCAATTTCCACAAAAGTTTATACACATCAAGCCCCCCCCCCCCCTACTCCCTTTCTCTTTCATCTTCCTTTGTTATGAGGGTGTGTGTGAGTGTGTGTGTGAGTGTGTGTGTGTGTGTGTGTTAGTGTGTATGTGTGTAAATGTGAGTGCGTGTGTGTGTGTGTGAGTGTATGTGTGTAAATGTGTGTGTGTGTGTGTGTGATGTGAGTGTGTGATGTGAGTGTGTGTGTGTGTGTGTGTGTGTGTGTGTGTGTGTGTGTGTGTGTGTGTGTGCAGGCATGGGTAGGGTAAGTTGTGTGAATATGTAGCTAGCTCTAATTTTACAATGAATAATTACAATAAATGAGGGCGATAACAAAGTTAATTAGAATAGATTGATATTTCATCAAACCTCTTCTGCTTATGATAATGATGGCGATAGTAATGACGGAAACTCAAAACCTAGATCTAGTATAATACCTTTGTTCTGCCTTGTATAAAACCATATGGCTTCATGTAAGAGTTGTTGATAAAGTTCATAATTGAATCCATTGTTGAAATAACTTGCTGGCCAAATGGGAGGGTTTCCTCTGAATCTGATCCATCAATCCACTTGATCATATCACTGCGTATTGCTGTTTCTGTAACTTTCTCATCATCATTACCACTAGTTCGACCACCTGCTAACTGTCCTGTCTTGAGCCCATCAGTGTTTTTCAGTCCTTTCAGCTCTGAGATAACTCCATCAATAACTTCATCCGTGAAAACCTCATCAACGACACAATAGCCAAGATTTATAAGTCGAAGGCTAATAAACTCAGCAAGATCTTGATGATCATAGGAATCAGGCTTTGGGAACTTCAGGCGCCGGAGTGGTCTTGAATCAAATGGCATGAGGTCACCATCTTCGTCTACAGACTGAACTGCATGATGAACATTAGCAGGGTCCTCAGTTTTAGGAATATACTGATCCACAGAGATGTCTCCAGGAATCTGATCAATTTGATGGGTTTCAGTACATTCACCATAACTAAAACTAACACTTTCATTCTCTGTATAACTATCAGTATGTGGTCCATGGTAAGTGTCAACTTCTGAATTTATTAAGTCCGTAAAGATATTTTTGGGTTCTTCAGAAGCCAGTACTGTTTCATTATCATTGCTCTGGCTGGGAAGTGTTACAGAACTGAAGTCTAAGATACTTTCAATTTCTTTTTGTTGAGAAATTAGTTCACTGACAAAGTTCTTGGTATTATTGTCACTAGATCTATCATCATCATTTTGGCTTTGGCTTTGACTTCGGCCTCGCCAAGGCTCATTGGAACTCGTCTCACTGTCACTGCAGATTTTTGATACAGCTTTAGGTTGACATAATGTTCTATGGGACTTCCAGTCTTGTTTCTGATGGTCTCTACAGCAATATGCGACAGATTTGCATCTTGCACAGCGTTTCAAACTGTCTGTCGAAGAGCAAATCATACACTTTTCAGTGCTGGAAGCTGTGATATCAGCCATGTTTGTTGTCGTATGGATACGCCTCCTTTCACAGAAGAGTTCCAAGTCCAAGTGTACCCAGAGTCTGTGGTGTACCCAAGGAGATTAAAAGTAATTCTATTAATCTGGAGTGTACTCACTGGGGTGTACTCCACCAACAACCTTGCCTGACAGGCCTGGTAATCTCTATCTCTAACAAATATTGTGGAGGTAGTATCTCTCCCCGCAGAATTATGAAAATTTAGAAGGCCAAATTATGCAAGACAAATTAAAAATTATGCAAACATTATGCAAGTTACCCTAGCGCCATTCACGACATGCTTTTGCGCTTTTTCACCAAAAAAATTCACGTTTTAGATATGTACCGGAGAATTGAAAACAGAACATATCAGTATCAGTAGTTTTTTGTGTATCTGGAAAGATACACATCAGTCAGAAAAAAGAAGAACCAAAAAATATAATCTCTGTAACTTTCAACTTTCAGCTGTATAGAGGGCAGAAAAATGATTTTTACAAATCTTAAAAAAAAGGACATCTGGACCTCTGATGCTGGATCACCACACTAAAACCAGAGACACATGTCAAACATGAAACATCAGCAGACATGAGAACAACTTTTGACGTATTGAAAAATTGAACATGCTCAATTAATAAAAATCCCTAGTAAGGGCAATAACCAATTGTGTCACTTAAAAGAGACTTATTACTCCTATTACTTCCCTTTAGTCTCTTGGCGGGCATAAACTACATTGTTTTGTATCGCAGAATCCAACGGGGACAATGTATATTCTATTCAAGCTGAAAAATACCAATGACCTGATTGTCCTATATTATTGAAATATTGCCAAAATAAATACGCTTGAGCCCCCCCCCCCCCAAAAAAAAAAAACACAAAAAAACAACAACAACAAAACAAAACAAAAACAAACCCCAAACAAAAAAACAACAACAACAACAACTAAAAAACAACCAGCAACAAAATAATCAACTGTAATTAAGTGTATGGTATCAGTGAGGTATACCCCCCCCCCCCTCCTCTCAGAATTTGAAGCACTCTCTGATATTACCTACGGATGTTTAGTAGGTGAAGAATAAGAAATGAAATATAGATTTACAATTTACTCTCTTTCAACACAGATGCAAAGCTGCAGATTAAACACAAGTTTATTTTCACTTGATCTGAAGCTAATTGTTACCAGCATCTAAAAATACAAATTTGTCATCCAATGATATATTATACATGTACACTGTTTAAGACTACAAGCGAGACCTCCATTCACTAACTGTGCGCAGATTCCACACCTTTGAAATTATTGAGAGTACACCCACGAAAGCGGGAAAGAGAATAATAATAATAATAAATGACATTTATATAGCGCTCAACCCCGAATAAAGTACACAGGCTCTGAGCGCTTTACAATACAGTACAACATACAACAGTAACACGAAACGTTGTGTTCTGTCTAAAGAACAATCTATACATCTATTATTATACGAAATTTGGCGACTTGGAAACACATGTGCCATTTTTCTCTCAAGATTTATTGCTCCATTCCAGTAGAGTGTAAATATAATAGACCAATGATATTCAGTTGATGTTAATGCACCACCTTTCATCGAGAGGGGGCCCAGCTAGTATATAAAATAATATGTGTGTGTGCCTAAAGAAAGGTAGAAAAAGTCGGATTTTAACCATTTTGAGTTGAGGGTTGTACCTAATACAGTGGAATCCTGTTATAACAAGAGGGAGGGGACTGGTGCGAAATGTCCGTTATAGCAGTATTCTCGCTATAATCCAGTAATAAATTAAATGGAAATAATAAAGTAGGCCAAGTCAATGAGTTTGGTGCTCTGTTTATGTCTTTTTGTTATCTCCCCTGATGATGATTTTGTTTCAACATGACCTCCAAGTCATACTTGATCAAAATTTGAATCAGGTTTCTTTCTCTAGCGATAGCGATGTTGACAGCTTGGCGTTGGCGATCAGAAAGAAAGGGCTCAGGGCTAACTCGCCCGCGGTGTTGTCCCCACCCCACCACACCATGTGGTCTGTTCCGTCTGCGAGAGCACGTCACATATTCGCTCCATCCATCAAATCACTGTGACCTCACCGTCCCTGCATCGGAGAAGTGAGAGGCATGGTAGACCTAGATAATCTCGACAAGGCTGACCTATCATGCGAAGCGTTCTGCTTGTCTGCGTATGCCACACCCTCCAAACTCAATCGCTCCGGCCTTCATTGTTGACACACGTGGCGTTCTGCTTGTCTGCGCATGCCACACCCTCCCCACTCATTCGTTCCGGCCTTCATTGTTGACACACGTGGGCTCTCCCATTCTTTGTTTTGCTAGTTCACCAACAAGTTTCTCAACTTGCGAGGTTTTACATTATGTATAATGGGCATTTGCGCTGCGCACACCAGCAGTAATATTCCGCTATAACCGACTCGCGTGTTTGTCTGATTGCGCTATAGCAGCTTTTATTTTAAGAAGGAGAAAAAACGGGGTTTTAGAATAGTGTCTTTAGAATAGACTTCTTGTTATTTCAGGACTTGTTATAAGTGGACTCCACTGTAGGACATACAATGCTGAACACAGTGGTATTCGAATTTTTTAGATATCTCAAGTAGTTTTTTTTAGATATTGCACATTTTGCGAAATAGGGTAAAAGATTTAGTTTTGAGAAAATTAGCTTTTAAGTTTAGAACACATACAAACTTGAAAAAAACGATGATTCAATTGTTTCCAGTGTATTTATTCATGGAAATTTCATTTCCAATTCGGTATTCAGTTGACATCAATAAATATCATGATTAGAATTCAATGGTAAAACATAGCAGGGAAGAGAAAACCAGCTTCAAGAATAGATTTTAATACCTTTTAAAAGCAGTTTTCATTACCTTTTTAAAACATACCATACCCTCAAAATAAAATATTTGGAAGTCAAATCAGTAAAAATTCTTTTAACACATTGTTATAAAATGGTGGAACTATCATTTTTTTTAATGGAAACTCATTTTGGTCACAAAAGTGATTTTTTTGTCATCATCAGCCTGCAGCTCAAAATGGTCTGTGGCGACTTTTGGTACCTTTCTTTAGGCACACACACACACACACACACACATGTCTAGCATGCACACAAGGAACAGATTTTCAGGTCCCAAATTGTTTCTTAAACATGTACATTCTTTGTTTTTAAAACAGACATAGCAAAATTCGCCCATTACAAAAAGATTTTCGTGTACTGCTGATTTTACTTTGTGCGTGCTCGACAGTACACTGTCTCTCTTTAAGTCACACTTTTCTATGAAACAAACCTTATATTCCCATCAGGCTACATCAAATTGTTCCCCAACCATTTGTAACATGATATAACGATTTCAAAGAAATGATTACATTACACTAACAATTAACAATAATAAAAACAACACAAGGATAATGCTCTTGAATGTTTTATTTCTACATTTTCAACTTAAGACTTTTTCTCCGATTCGAATGGTTTTGAAGTCATAAAAGTGAGCAAGTAGCCTCCTGTTCCACTCATGTTCATCTCTGGGTGAGTTCTTTGAGGCAGCACCTGCAGAAAAACACAAAGGAATCCAGTAGTTAGTGTCCAATTCATTTGATAGAATATCTAGTTCCAGAATTTTGACTTCTTTTGCAGTTTTGAAGTTTTTATTACACATATTAAGTGACAATAGTTCTAACTCATTTTCATAATTTGACATCATTTTTAGAAGAGTAGGGCTCCGTTAGCTCAGTTGGTATCATGCTGGACTATGGAGCGGACAGTCCTGGTGTGAATCCACGAAAGAGCATTCCTGAACTCAGGTTATTTATTATTTTGTGGAGTTTTCAAGGCTCTCAAGCTAACTGGCTCAGTCTTATCAGAGATGGATGTGAAATTTGGAGGGCCTGTCTCTTAACTCATCTCCGGTAAGCCGCTGTCATCGGCTTGGTCAAATTCTTTAACGGTGACAAGGAAATTATATATTAATTTTCTGCAATTACCGAAAATAGGTCTCTCTTACTCTTACCAGGAGTTCTTTCTTTAGATGAAAGCCTGTTGAAATAGGTTAATTTGTTTTGATTTAATAGCTCATTTAATGAAGTACATGTCACTTTGAAGTTTGCACCAAAAGGGGGCTCTGACATCTAGGGGAAACCCTCTGCTGGGATAAAGAGTTAATTAACTGTGTTGAAAGGGACGTTAACTCCTTCACTGCGGACCTATATTCCCCAACCTATGCTGACCATGTTTCCAGGAATAGAACTTCAAACGGGTGATCCTTTCAAAGTGCTATTTACTCTGTGGTAATGTATCAAATGCATAACAATGTCGACATCATTTTAAAGGAAAATGAATGAACCGCTATCATCATCAGCAAAAATTTAGTCGATAGCTTGATACGTTGTGAGCATACACTGCGAGTGATCAGCCATAGCTCTGAGCTAGAGTGAGACGCTAGAACTGTGAAGAGGGTGTGACGCTATAATTCACGCTATTTCGGTCATTGTTGGTCTAACTAGGGCAATCTAAAGCTTCTCTAACTCGGGAAGAAAAGAGCTTTCAGGGGAGCCCACTCTCGACACTAAATTGCAATTACCGGCTGAGCAGGAAATGAAACAAAATAGCGATAATGCTGGGTGTACACTGTACGTCTACAGCCCATAGGAGGACCTGATTTATGGACGTACATTATACGCCAAGCAGCAGTGAAGCGGTTAAACTCTTACACTTACAATCTTATAGAGGGCTACACTGCAGACCCAGCATCCAACTAATAATCTATACAGGTTTCTCTTTCCGTAGAATGTCAACCTGAGATTGTAATATAAATCCAGCCAACCAGTACAAAATGTATTAATAAGACTAAGCAACAAAACCACATTTGACACGGTGTAGATTGAAGGAAATGTATGTAGAAATACGGTAACTGCATACCAAAAGGAGGTGACAATTAATAAAAAGAACAGTATTTCTCTTGCGGTCTTTCTTCCATGCGAGTTAAGCCGTAAAACCAGTTCTAGACAGTATCTTGAGATAAACATGATTGCTGTCAAGTGTCAACTACTCAGACTTCTTCAGTAAGAGTAAGAGAAAGAAGACACAAGGCAAGAACGGAAGAAAATAACTGGAGGAAGAAAAGAAGGAAATTTGAGAATAGGCACCTGTTTGTGTGTGTACACTTTTCCCCAAAGTCTCCTCATTTTCAAACTAAATGGTAGGGTGGCTAGTAAGTCAAAAGGTCAGAATTTGCCTCTTATGCAAAAGAATCTGGTTTGATCTTAGCTTTGTGCAGGTATGACTAATAAACGAGTACCTTGTATTCTCAGACATAGACCAAGAACACGAAAGACCAGTTTGAAAAAAAACAACAACAACAACCCCAAAACCCAAATAATCATCCTTACCCAAAACTGAAGAAACCACCACGACCCCATATATATACAAGTTACAGTGCCTTCAAAAACTGCAAAAGGGAATCTAAAAAAAAAAAGCCATTACATGCTAATATGAATTAAAGTAGTACACGAACATAAATAAAAACAAGTGGTGTTGTGGATAGAAGAGTATGAGATCAAGCAAGATAAAAGGTGAAGAACAGAAGGAGAAAGAGGTAGAAGGAAAGGGAAGGGAAGAAAATGATAAGAAAAAAAAAAAATTAAGGGAAAACGAACCCCTCCCCCCAAAAAAAACAAAATGAAAAGAGACAGCTAGACATACCTGATACTCCCTGAACCAGGTCTCTGTCAGCCGCACCTGCAGCCCAAGGTGCTCCTCTTTGACGTAAGTGTAGCAGTCCTTGAGAGGCTGAGAGAGAAAAGTTCACAAGCAGTCTGTCAGAAACTTCCTTTAAAAGGTACTTAATTATGCTAGGCACATGATGTATAATAAACTAAGCAAATCATACAAGTAATTTCAGATGCTGATAACACGAGCTGTCAATTATGTATGCAAAACTTGTCTTCAGGATCAAAAGAGTAATAGTAGAGAAATATCCATCACTTGATACACAGGCCACTTTGACCGCGAAGTCGTTAAACTGTTTGTGCCTCAGGCATAAACATACCCGTCTTTCTTTACACCATATGCCCATGTGTTGATAAAACTTGGCACACAAAAAGTCAAAGTGTCATTCACTCAGCTGTAAAGTGAGCCTGATGACAGCAATGTGAATTATTTATGCTAATGGTAACGTTTTTTGCCCTGACATTATCTTGTCTATAAAGCCATTTTTTGTCTTGTTAGTCCATCCCCATGTATCTTGAAAAATTAAACGTTGGAAATACTTAGATGAAGTAAAGACCAAAGTATTCTCAAATGTATCTGCTCTGTAATACAAACAAAGAGCAAATTTGTGGTTTTTGACTCAAGTGTGTGTTTTTTATAGCCCCCCCCCAATATATGTCATATATGTAGAGGCACTAAGAAAGGGAACTTACATCAATAAACTGACAAAAAACCACCACTGGTCTGGATGGGAGCATGAACTTCAACATTTTCTTCAAGACTGGAACTGGGTTGAACTTGCAAGCAATAATGAGACTGTGGAGGTAAAAGCACATTTTATTTTACTTATAAATATATATATATATATATATAAATAGAAGAAGTGTGACTTAACTCACTTGAGCCTAAGCTATTTCACTCAACAACCATTGCAGCCTGATGGCCGCACAATCGTATAATCCGACGGGGACAGCTATATGAATGCAAAGGGGGAAATTACCGAAAATGTTCTTTAAAATCCACATGATTACATCCCTTCCATATCAATAAAATTTGCACTTTAGATTAGTCTTCCTTTTGTTGTCAACTTCCTGGATTATCTTGGCCTTTAATTCGAGTGAAAAGCATTTCCTTTTGTCTTTGTTGGAAGCCATCTTTTCCTTGGTTTGTTGCTTGTGCTGTCTATCGTACCAGTAGGCCTACTGTAAAACTGGAGAAGTGTATGCGTGCATATGCTGGAGCATCAACGATCACAATTCAATGAATCAGGAATCACACACTACACGCTCTCCTCTTCTTTTACTTTTTGGCCGCTTGTCATTGCTTGTAACCGAAAAACACAGGGGATATCGATGATAAAGCACATCCCGTTAATACACGGGATTAGGCCACCAGGGTGGCGGCGTGGCCCGTAAATATACGGGAATAGGCTCAAGCGAGTTAAAAGAAAAATGTAGCATACATGATTAACACAATATATTTACAGTGGAACTTGGATTCAACAAGGTCGCCGGGCTGTACCTAAAATCTCGTTGAATCCGAGTGTTCATTTTAGCAAACATGAGGCTTTGTGTAGATAATTACAGGCACTGAGTCTGAGCAAGTAACGTATAAAGAGAAGTAACAATTGGTGCCTGAAATGCATGCATATTATGAGCTGTGCAAAAAAAAAGAAGGCGGATTCGTTCAAATGCACGCATGTGTCATCTCAATTGTTAAAAAGTTGTGTTGCTGTGTAAAGCTAGCATATGGAAACTTTTGATTCCATAGACCAGCCCACAATTCATTATGTAGATCTACATCAAGACTTGCTGATCATTGTAATAATGATCAGTTGCCGGGGGGGGGGGGGGGGGGGCTGGGGGAAGAACTGGGGACCGTTTGTATTTGTGATGTTCCACGCCCGGACCGCTGGTGCCCCCCCCCCCCCCCCGACACGCACACACCGTCACACATGTGCAGGCTGCCCATCCGACCCCGACACATGCTAGAGTAGTCACGTGCGTGTGCCAAAAAAAGGCCGCTGATGGGCAGCAAGCAATCGTCTAAGTGAATCAAGGTTCACAATGCAGGTGCAATGGATGGTTTCAGGGAAGAAATAAGGTTCGTAGTGGGAGAAAAATGAGCGAAGCCACGTCTGCGGGGGATGTTCACCCTGGAAGTGACCTCGTTGAATCTGAGCTTGCTGATTTAAGTGTTAGTTGAATCCGCGTTATTTTTATTGATTTTAACGGGAGGAGCTACCCTTGAGGACCATTTTCTATGTTTGTTGCCCGACATCAAATCCAAGTACACATATAAGTTAGACAGAGTAAAATCTCTTGAAACGCAATTTTATTTTGGCATACCTAGAGCGGTTGCTATGGAAACGGCCGCCATCTTGAAAATAAACAATGAATTTCAAACCCTTTAGGCTTTCTTATTTACAGACCAAATTTGACCAAATGTGGTGAGAGTATACCTGAACCAGACCCTATCAGAGTAACAGCAAGTTTTTTTCAATAAGTGCAAAAGAAAAATAAATATGAGAATTTTCCCAAAGTATAAAAATCTTTTGAAAAATTTAGGTTGCGTAATTGCTTGCCAATGGAAAAATATCATTTTTTTCCGCAAATATCTCTGTCACATTGATGGTAGTCTTGCTAACTATGTTTCCTGAAAGTTTCATGTCAAAAGGATAAAAACTAAGGAAGGAGTAGGGAAAAAACTGCACAAAAATTACATTTTGAGAAAACCGACAATAATTGTGAAAATTCACTATTCTAATCCATCCTCATGTTTTTAAAGGCAATTTACTTGGAGAATAAAGTCTTTCTCAATTGTATCCATGCTATTTTTAGACAAAAAACAGGTTTATCTTAAAAAATCAGCCAATATAAAATGTGCATAGCCTGACCCAAAATCTGCAAAATCAAGGGTCGCTCCTCCCCTTAAAGAAAAAAATAAACTGGGGAATCCATCTCCTTTAGTTGAATCCGAGTTCCACTGTTTGTACAATACAAGGAAACAATAGCTTGGGTAAAGATAAGAGAATTTACATCACAGCATACTGGTCACACAATCAAAAGACGGACACACATGTGTCTTTTAGACTGCACACAACGAAACAAGACAATATCTTACCTGTCCAAGTGCTTGCCTGCAATAGCATCACCTGCTTCTTTCTGACGTATGGCACGAGCTTGTCTCTGAATTTCCCTGTTGGGCACAAACTGGAGGAACAGATCATAAACATGATTATATCCTTTCAGAGAGTTACAAAAAAAATTGAAATAATACAGTAGCATATGGTTATAGCAGGACTTTTAGTTCCAGAAGAAAAATCCCTCTGTAAACAAGTTCACGTAATAAGATTGCAAAGGGGAATTACCGAAAATCACACACTACACGCTCTCCTCTTCTTTTACTGTCTTTTTGGCCTAGCCTAGGCCACATCACTTTTTGAGTGGCTCACGTAACGCGTCTCTACGCACCATCTCTCTCTGCCGCCTGCCCCACCTCACTCATCTGGCCAATCACAACACCACACCGCTGACTGCCTGTTTGGAGCCCGCCTACAGCCTCCCACTCTCCTTTCCCCCAACTACAGCTCGCTCGATCTCTCCCGCTGTATCAAAGTTCAGGACTTTCCTTGCCCCATTAAACGCAAGCATAAGTAATTGAGTTTACATAGAAAAAAAAAGGGGATTCCAGTCAGCTACCGCTGTAGGGATGGTCCCGTTGCAGCGGGTGCCGCAATAGTCATGTTTTACTGTAGCCTTTATGACACTTATTGAAACTCATATGAACCTGACAGAAGGATACCTGTATTCTAGAAAAAACAATATATCTCAGACATACTCTTTGACCCTGCAGATTCTTTAAAAAAAAAAAATATCTAATCAGTAGCAAACTTTCAACACTTTGGCAAAATAAATGAAAACTGTAAAATTGCAAACTAAGACATCAATAATGAAGAAGTAGCTTAACAAACTGAAATTCATCATAATGCATTCCTTTAATAAAAAAAGAAATCCTGAGGAAGTCTAAAGTAGTGTAATGATATTTTACAAACAATTCACACGAAAACAATACAAATAAAAACCAAACAATTCTTAAATTAAAAACCTTTTCTAACCAGTCGACAACACTTAAATTTTAAAAATGTAATTCTGTACTTTAAAAACAGAATTTTCGCCCCCCTCCCCTAAAAGAATCTTTATATATCTATCTAAAAAAACCTCACAGGGCGTTTCTCTCCAACCTCAGCAGTTTCTGCCTCTCCACTCTCCCCATCAGAAGGACCTGCATCATCCTGCACTTCCTCCTTTGCCCCAGGGCAACCACTTTCCTTTGTTGTATCACCTGACACGCCAGCTTCTTCAACTGGGCCAGTGGTCAGGGGCGAATCAGTGGATTTAGCGGCTAATTTCTCCACCACAGTGTCATTTGCGTCCATGGGGGTGGACTCTGAAGTCCCTTTTATCACTGGAGTGCTGTTTGCCTCCGAAGGGGTAGATCCAGGGGTCCCTTCTACTTCTGGAGCATTATTGGCCGCCTCAGACGAGACAGACTCGGAGATATCTCTCCCTTCCACAGACTCTTTGGCTTCAGCAGCAGCAGAAGACAACGCTGTTTGTGGCTCAGTAGCACCTTGCTCTAACGCTGACAAACAATCCAGCGGATAGTAGTACACACAGTCCCAATGATCTTTGGGAAAACTGAAGTAGTTCATCACCTGTCTGTTTAATAAAATAAAATATACCTAAGTTATATCGCTGAAAAAGTATTTTAATATAAAGATGACTTTCAAGACTGCAAGCAGAAATTGCTTTGAGTAAAAGTAAGTCTGGGGAGGGGAAAGAGGTTGTCATATCAAGGTGTTCACTTCATTCAAACGTTATATGTGAGGCAGTGTGGTGAAACCAGGCGCTCATCAAAATAATGAAATTGAAGAAACTGGCATTTTTCTGTCCGTTTGGCAATTTCTATAGAATTTTTTTTTTTCACTCAACACCTTTAAGGTCCATTTAAAAACTCTCTTCTATGTGGATTTTACTGAAAAATGTTGATTAAAGGCATAAAAGACGTAAATTTTCAGTTTCTACGGACTCTCAAGCTAAGGAAATAACGCAACTTTGGCGGCCATTTTCTTGCTAGTTTTACCTTTAAAACCATGCGACGCCCACCTCCTCCAATCGCCCAATATCTTGACTTGTACCCATGATAAATGGATATTCTTTCCATCAAAAGCAAGGCAAATTAAAAGGTTTTAAGATGATATCAATAACTCTATATGCCCCAAAATTGACGGACACCTGATTCCATCACGTCGTGACACATATGTGTGTCTTGAGAAATCCTTGTGCGTATATTTTTTTTTGCCTATGTTTTTTTGGTATTTGAGTAAAGAGAATATCACAAATTATTGGAGTAAAAAGGCTTCTCGAATCTTCAAACAAAATATTTTCACATCTAAGAAATATCTATATAAAAAGGTCACCTTTATAACCATGTCTCGCTATTCTCACCCCCCCCCCCCCGGTGAGAATAGCTCCCACGGTGTGGGAATGAGGCGAGGACTCCCCCCTGACCTCTCGCAGGCCGATAAAATCACCTAGGCCCTTTGTGGTTTACCGCATGTGGTTGGGAACGAATAATAATACTGTAAAAAACATTTTTTGCCTCTCAGGTAAAAAAAAAAGCTCGCTACCGACGATACTGAGCGAAATGTGGGACCGGCTGCCGCCCGGACCATTCGTTGTTTACACACTTGACGATGGCAGGCCTCTCACTCTCTGCCTGCTCACAAGAAATTATGGTTCAAGGAACAGAGAGTGTGAACAAACGTAACGAGACACAAGCACAAGACAATAAATGCTCTTGCACGAAGGTAAATTATTCAGACCAAACTGGTGAGGGCGTTAAATCGTGTTAACTAGTTTAATAATTTAACAGTCCTAGCTCTTTTCTTCACTTCCATCTTTTTTCTTTCTTTCTTTTTCTTTTTTTCTTGCCTCTTCTTTCCCCCTTCTTCTTGAACATTTGCAGTTTGGAGCCAAAAAAGAGCCAGAGAGCAAAATGAAATTCTACGGGCCAGACACAATCTAAAAGAGCCAAATTTCTGGGATTTGGCTCCAAACTGACAACCCTGACTGTGACTATTCGGACACGAATAGTGACAAACATGATGCTGTGGAGCATCAGCCCTGTCATGCCCGCTAACCTCAGCCCTGATCCTTCAAGAGTCATTTCCGGTAAAACGAGGGGGTGAGAAAAGTGAGACAAGGGTTATTCTCACCAAGGGTGAGAATAACCACTTTCATATAAAAAATAGAAAACTAACGATAAGCCACAAGTAAAGCAATAAAATTAGTGAATTGTACAACACCTGAAAAACCTGTACAAAGAACTATGGCTTGAGCCATGACTCGTTTCTTATCGAACGAACTATTTTATATTGCTAAATTTATGACAGCATATATATTCATCTATTCCACAGGTGCTAATACGATCTCTGACTCTCTACTACAGAAATAATATTACACAAAACCCTAGACCTATATCTCAGAAATGAGAGACATTATACAGTAGCCTCCATCTTACCGCATATAGGCCCAGTTCGCTTAAGATTTTACTGTTTCAACCATTCTCTAACTACCACATCTGTATTAAAAAACTCACCTGCATACTGTGTTGTTGTTGTTTGGAATAAGCTGGATCAGTTTACCACTGCCTGGGACAAGCAACAGAAGAAAGATATAAATCCATTTTCAAGTTGAAAAAGACAAAGTTTATGCCACAATATCCTTACTACACACGACCAAACAAAAGAAAAACATGGCTAAGAAAACAACTTCACATCGGTGTGACACATGGTCATTACAAAATATAAACTATAGCACTAAAATACTTGACTAAAAAAATCTCTGATTAGCTATAATTCGACTTTAAATTTGCAACATAAGCACACAGTCGCCTAAAAAAGAATCTAAAGAATAGGTAGCGTAAACACCTCAACCTGGGGAAAACTCAGTACACTACAGCATAGAGCCAAACACTTAGGCGCACGGGTCGAAGCGATGCTGGCTGGGACTGGACTGTGTTTTAGTCGAAATAGCACCAAATCTGAACGTTTGAGGCAATAAAATACTGATCTGCGATGATCTCAGTCTTTAAAAAAGTAGGCTCAATATCTAAGTTATTGTGATTCTCCTCCGCCAATGTGTAGATGTTCGGTACACTTGGCACTGTTTTATTATCTGTCAAACATGGGGGTTGCAGCCAGTTAGTGAATTTTGCAATATTTTATTTAAATATCAAAACGGTTGACATTTTCTTAAAAATTGACAGAGGTAAAAGGATGGTATCAAAATGCTCAGGACACATAAGCCTTTTATATGGAACAGATAAATTTGTCGTGCAGCTACTTTGAAAATTTAATTTCTTGCACCTATGAAGAATGGCTTCCCTCTACTGTAATCTATTACCTAAATTACAGAAGCCTCCAGGACTAGTGCAACTGAGAGTCCCAGGGACAACTGTTGTACTTTACGCCAATGCAGGCTGAGGCACCCTTATGGTGTACAAAAGGGTAAACATAGCACGGTGAGGCATGAACGTAGGTCATTATGTGACTGCAAAACACACTGGATTAGAACTCCCCAATGTATAACCCAAAGAGATGACAGAAGAAATTGTAGCCGGTGAAAGGAAGAAGGGGAGTTCTGGTTCTTGCTCCGCACCAAAGGGTGAATAACCATCTCTCCCCCACTCCCAAAAAAACAACAACAACAAACAAACAAAAAAAACCCCAACCCAGGTAACTCACCACCCAAACGCTGCAGCACGCAAGCTAAGACCAGTCCTTGGCATGATTCTGCGACAGCTACTTGACTTCCACACATGACATTGCTGTAGTTTAACAACTGTGACAAACTATCAGGACGCAGATAGCTGACAATAGAAGAAAGTTTTTTTTGTTGAATTTCAAACATTTATAACAATATATAGTCTTTTTGCAAAATCTGCAACAACAAAATGATTTGCAATAGATAGCCCCAAATTTATTATCTCTAACTGAACTCAGAGACGAACCATTCCAAAAGCTTCAATAGACTTAAGAAATAGTACAACAAGACAGAATTTTAAAAGGAGTAAAACAACTGGCAAAATTAATTAAAGTCAAAAAACAAATAAATGCAATCTAAAATTTGCCTCATAATAAGCATCATTTAGCGGAGCATGCTGTCAGCAAAGAAGGGAAGAAATATATTTCTAACTACAATTTCAATCAGGTTCATGTTCAGCACTAGTCTACTATTAAAGTTGCAAAATTTTTGGTAAATATTTTGGCATTGTGAAAAAAAAAAAAGGCGATGAAACAATAGATGTACTGCACTATCTCTAAGTCCAAATAGAGCCTTACCAGATTTTTCCTGGCTCTTTAGCAAAGATGTCTAAAACCAGTCTCGGAGTTGGACGCAAGGCTGTGAAAGCCTGTACATGCCTGCAAAACACAAATGTCATAATTTTTGTTACTTTCGCTTTCTCATAAAACTCAGCATCGTATTTCAAAATGAATATTTCCAACAAAAATAAAAAAGGAAAGAATATAATCAGTCCAGATCATTTGATTCTTCAGAGAAAAAACAAAGATATGTAGAAAAAATAACTATTCAGTCAGTTTAAGCACAAAGTCTGCATTGACTATCAAGGCACCCCAGAAATAGCGGGTCACAAGAGTGTGACAAACATTCAAAAGAAGTAGAGGAAAAATGAGAGTGGTAAGGTTTAGGAAAGAAAAAGCAGCAGTTCCCCATTGCAGCTAAGGCACAGTTATGAGCATGACATAGATGAATCAGCCCATTTATAACTACTGAGCATAAGAACATGTTAATGTCCCCCCTTTGGGAATGGCCTAAAGACACTTCAGTCAGTAGCACCGCCCCAGAGGGATATAACTATCTAGTTAAAAATCAAACATATGGTGACCTAAATAGACAAATAATTCTAAATATAACTTAATGGATTTGAAAGCAGGGCATAGCTTTACTAAAGCTACAATCCCATACTACTTATGCATAAGCACTTTAAAAAAACACCCAACTTTTAAGGACAGCATTTAATTGAACAATTTTAATGGCAAAGAGCAAATACAGAACCTTCTGTGCAAAGTACTATTCTAATATGGATGAACCGTTAGTATTAATATCCATTTCCAAAGAGCACTAAATAATTACAAGACAGAGAGCACTAATACAAATGCATAATCTGAGGGATAATCTGAGGGTACTTACTTTTTCTTCTTCTTTTTGACATATTTTGCCTGAGAAAATTCTGTCTTGTTTCTGAAAGTTTCACTGTTTTCAATTAGTTCCTCAATGATTTTCTGAAACAAAAATCAAATATTGCATCATCAAATTGTGTCTAGACTTTAAATCAATGATAAGTCACAAATAAAATTTTGCACTGTTTGGGACTTGATGTGTGTAAACTATCCAGAGACTTGGGCCTGCATAAAGGATAGCAATAGAATCTTTAAAAGATTATTTATTATTTATATAGACTTGTGATGAGCAAATCAAACAATTGATAAACCAGAATATGATCAGTCTTTCTATTTATTTCATAAAATATAAATGTCAGTGTAGTGTTGTCGATGAGTAAGCACAATAAAATAATATGCCACTAAAAAAACAATTCAAGGATTATTTAATTCTTAATTTATGGTGTGCCAGTTGAGTTGAAGTATGACATTGCCTGATGATTTAGCCTTAATAAAAAATCTATAATAGCAGCAGTTATTTCTCTTGAAACTTGAGGTGGTTGAAGATTGTTGGGGGCTGGCCCCCTAATTTATTGAAAGCAGTGCATCGAAGTGTGTGAGTGATAGTATAAATTAACGCTGTGAAGGCATCATACCAGAACGCATCATTGTGGTAGATTATCAGACAGGACTTATGGGAGACTGCATTATCACAGTGGACCAAAAGCTTGGAAAACTGCTATACAGATACCCCTCCTCAAAGACGGAAAACCCAAGAACAGTGCAGAAAGCTACCGCCCAATCAGCCTCACTAGCTGTCTATGCAAGCTTCTAGAGAGGATCCTCAACTACAGACTCTCCAAGTTCCTAGAGAAAAACCATCTTCTATCAGATAACCAAGCTGGGTTTAGGAAACATCGATCAACCGAAGACCAGATTACATACATTGCTAAGATGGTAGAGGATGGCTTCCAAAGAAAAGAACACACTGTAGCCGTCTGGATTGACCTGGAGAAGGCGTTTGATAAAGTTTGGACAGAAGGACTCATACTGAAATGTCAAAATCTGAACATCTCTCACAACATGCTGAAATGGATCTCACAATACCTATCTCAAAGAAGAGCCTGTGTGAAACTGCAAGGAAAAAGAAGCAAAATGGAGACAATCAGTAATGGAGTCCCACAAGGGGGAGTTTTATCAGCGACCCTGTTCCTGATTTTCCTCAACGACATCTCAACCACCATCACCAAGAAAGTGACAGCAGCGGAGTGTGCAGATGACATCGCTCTCTTATGCTCGGCAGAATCAGTAGGAACAGCCCAGGTACGATTCCTAAGCACACTTAACAACATGATGAAGTGGACAGAAGAGTGGGGACAGAAGATCAACAAGAACAAGACCACGTACACAACATTCAGCCTCTCACCAAAACCCCGAAAGGTAAACTTGCATCTTGATGGAAACACTCTACAACACGAGTCAAATCCAACCTATTTGGGTGTGACGTTTAATCCAAGACTAACATGGCAAGCCCAAACAGAGAGGTGCAGAAGTAAAGGCAACAGAAGAACAGCACTGCTTAGAAAGTTGGCAGGGTCAGACTGGGGAGCAAACCACACCGTCTTACGTGGAGCCTATGTTGGGTATGTCAGAAACAGCACTCGAAACAGTAGCCACCATTCTCTTGAATCACCAAAAATCTAAAGCCAACACTGTCTTCCTCACAGACGCAAAATCTGTCCTACAAGCTCTCCAAAAGCCACAAACAGCTCAAGTACGACAACTCCTTTCACTCCTATGTGATCTAAACTCCCAAGCCAACACAACTCTGCAGTGGATACCAGGTCACTGTGGCATTCATGGAACTGAAAAAGCAGATGACTTAACCAAGAAGGAGCCAAAATGACCCAGATTGAAGATGGCATGGATCTCTGAGAGTAAAAAAAACTAATAAAAACTGCTTTAAGAAACAGATGGAAAAGGCCCCACCCTAAGCACAACAGACATGACCCCTACTACATACTAAATAGAGCAGACCAGGTCACAATCTTTACACTCTGTTGTGGCCACAACAGACTCAAACACCATATGCACACCAAATTAAAAGTGGGAGAAACAGCGATCTGTGAATGTGGACATGACCAAGAGGATGCCAACCATTTCCTTCAGCACTGCCCGCGCTACACCACCCTTAGCGCACAGAGGTGGCAGAATGTGGCTCCCCTTGAGAGAAAACTCTATGGCAGTCTTTCAGAGTTGAAGCGAACAACACAGTTTGTACGTGACATCGGACTGACTGTCTAGCTGCTGTCATCGAGAACAAGGAAGAAGAAGAAGAACAGTGGACCATCAAGTGGACCAGCACTGAAAATTTACGATGGATGTATTGAAAATTGGATGAAAATATTCGAGTACAGAAATTGCTGTGTACAAATTATGTTGAATAACCTTTTGCATACTCAAGAGTTACCAGACACTTAACATACAGCTGTTTTCATAATCTTTAAGAGTCTTTTGGCAACAGAACAGTGAGATTTTGTATGCAACAAATGTCATTTATATATAACAATTCTCAAGCAGAAGCACTCAACCCAACTAAATTTTCAAAACTTGAGTCTCTGGTCACGCATACTTTACTGCACCTATGTGAAGACAGTATTTACACATTTTTGCTTCATTTCTTTCCTTTGTTTTAAAAAAATCAAACCAAAATTTGAAACTATTCTAATTATTTAACAAATAATGATCACTTACTTTCCCTGTGATTCCCTCTTCTTTTAACTTCATGATGTCATCTTTTGACATCTTTTGATTGCTGTCCAGGTCAAGGAGATTCCGGTTGTCAGCACTTGGGGCAGCTTGTTATGGAAAATGATGACATTGGCAACATAAGAACAGAAAACAATGCAAGTTTGAATATTCCATTGTATCCTTTTAAATACAGTCAAACCTGTGTAAGACGGCCACCCATTGTCAAGGAGAAAAGTGGCCGTATAAGACAGGTGGCCGTCTTAAGCAGGACTGATACAGATGAAGAAAACAAACCATTCCCATCTGAGGTCCTAATCGAAAGTAGCCGCACTGTTGTTGTTGTTTTGTTGTTGTTGTTGTTGGTGTGTATTTTGTTTGTAATTTTTATTTTGTTGCTGATTTTGCACAAGGGTGACAATAAAACGAAATGTATCAGACAAGGAAGACCGAGTGCAATGTTAAAACAAACACAAGGGTCGCCACCACACGGAGAATGAGCGACGCTTCTGTCACAAGTTCATGTTGACATCCAATGTTACTTTGTTACAGACTGGATAAACAGTGACCACTCATCTCACTTACGATTTGTGTTTGAGTTCTGGACGGGGCTTATGGGTTTATGAGGGATCACACGCTTACCTCACCAGCAGCTGAAAATTGGTAGCTATTGGTCAACAGTGGGAGGGGCCTACGCAACCTAACAACAACAACAACAGGTGATTGAATTATGAAGGCTCGCCCACAACGCCAGGGGCCAATGCACAATTTATGACAAAATGTAATGGAGTCACTAAGGTGGCCGCCTAAGACAGGTGTTATTGCTTAGTGTGATAGGGGTTGTGTATTAAATTATGGTGGCCGCGGCCGTGTTGGACAGGTGCCCGTTTTACACAGTTAAATTATATAGAAAAAATGCAAGGGGGGAAATGGAAAGTGGCCGTTCGTACAGGTGGCCGTCTTATAGAGGTGGTCATCAGGGCAGGTTTGACTGTATATATATATACTGTAAACTATAAACCATCACATATATATGAAATATCTATGTAAAAAGAACATTGAATTTTGAACGATGTAAAATAGTACAAATATCAGTGTATCTTAGTGCAGCTGAAAATTAATGAACATCACACTGACAACAATATAATTTAAAAAATTCAGAGTGTACTTTATGTTTTAACTTGTTAAACACATCCTTTTCCTGTATTCAAACCTGCTTCTCCAGTTTCAAGCTCCAATTTCCTGTTTGTTTCAACTTTGATTAGCTTCCCTCTGTCGATTTCAAATGTTGACCCATACGGTTGACCAATCAACTCCTCCACACTGAACTTTGTCTTTTCGAAATACACCTGTCTGCAAAATAAAAAACCCCCAAAGGTTACATAGGTGAGGCATCAGTTTGACGATCTGAACAATTATAAGTTCATCAATAAATTCAGAACTCCCTACTCAACAGAATGAAATATTCACATTGTGGTCTCTACCCAAGAACATTCTGAAGACCCCAGATCACATAAGAACCTGCTTTGACTATATTGAATGATTTCTTTATAATTTGTACATCTATGAACCCATGATCTAAAAATAAAAACGTCCTCGAGAACACAGATTGAGGTATTTGCAATAAACACTCTCTGAGCTGCTTTATCCTACTTTTAGTGGGTTGAGATGAGAGGAAAGGGACTAAAGAGGTTAAGCTGAGAAGGAAGGCAACATGCTACATACGAAGACTTAAACTTTACGTTTTTGGGTATGACATGAACATGAGCTTTGCAGGGCCAGTCAATCAGTAAAGTGGTTTTTTTCATTGTATGATCACTTGCTATTCTTGCATGGTCACAATGCCTGATTGTCTTTTTAATAAAAACAGCCCCTGAGTCTTGCTATTCTCACCCCCCTCAGCTGTGCTACACAGTAGGACAGATGCACACAGAACAGCACAGAGAATAATTTATAAGTTGTAGAGATAAGTTTCAGGTGTAGTTTATTTAATGGACTGGGTGAAGGCAATTTCACACCATAAACAGCAAAAGTGTGGAAAATAAAATCAACCTAAAAAAACAAAAAAAACCCAAACAAAAACGACCTACACTAGAACTAGAATCTAGATGATTACACAAGGAGAAATATCAAGAGTAGAATGCATCTTATAACTACCGGTCCTCACAATTATAGCCTAATTTTAAGAAAGCTATTAGATTATCTATTTAAAAAATTAAGTCTGTGGTAACGGCAATTTGTAGTCCTACATGAGGAAACAAGCTCCAAGCACTCATGAGTCATTTCCCAACCACATGGGGTAAGCTACCTAGGGCCATGGTGATTTTAGTGGCTTGCGAGAAGTCAGGGGGAAGTCCTCGCCTCATGTCCACACCGAGGTGGGGGTGAGAATAACAGGTCATGAGGAATAGCGTAAGGTATCTTCTTTATTGTGTTTGTTGGGGTGGTCGCTAATTACAACAGTTCGTCCTGGCAACAATATTTAATTTAAAAAATAAAATAAAATTAGAGGCTGGCTCTATTTCTCTGCACGCTCGGGAAAATGAACTTGAACTCTATTTCTCCGAACGGTTTATGTTCTCGAGATTTGTTGGCTATTTGCGAATGGAGGGGCCCGTGTGTGAGTGTGTAAGGTGTGAACGGGTTGGGGGGGGGCGCGTGAAGGCTTTTTTTTTTGTTTACATGAAGTTTGAAGGATTTTAGTTTTTGCTTTAAGGGTGACTAAATGCAAAATAGGTTACTGCCAAAGTCGAGCAGTCTTGTTTTCTCGCAGTACCTTTTATTTAAGGCATTTTCAAAAGAAGTTTCCGGGAACGTTGCCCTAACCACAATTGAAGTACCTGAATATTCAGACATTTAAAAATCTCTAGCTCTAGAAATTAAATTCGATTAAAAAAATGCTTCCCCCCAGTCCTTGCAGAATGAAAGATGATGCCGAAATAGTCTCAAATAACCAAAAAAATCTCGAGAACGGAAACCATTCGGAGAAATAGAGGTCAACTTTATTTCCCCGAGCATAAGGAGAAATAGTCACTGCGTGTAAATTAAATGCAAAACGAGCGGACCATTGCTGCCACGCATGAAGAAAAAGGTAAGATTGAACTTTGGTGAACCCAACACTGAAGGGAGAGGTGCTATTTGCAATGCCGCATTCTGAATAGCTCCCGTGCTATTTGAAACGCCGCTTTCTGAATAGCTCCCAAGCTATTTGAAACGCCAGTACTAGATCTAGATCTAGTAGCCACCGTTTCTAATGTAATAATGTAGTTCTGCCTGAATTGTGGAAGCTTTCTCAGTTTTTTTATAAACCTCCTAGGATTTGACTCCTTCTTTATTATGTCGTCTTATTCCGATCAATATTGGGTAGACTAGATCTAGAGATTTAGATTAGATTTAACAATTGTTTCTGAAATTATTTGCACAAATAAGTAGACTAGACGTGTAGTCTTGTTCACGTCTCATAATCCTTTATTCATTTGAGTTTGAGTTCGAGCAAGTAAGTCGAAAGACGCTTGGATAACAATATCAAGACGGTGCAACTCGGTCAGTATTTCCTGTCCGTAGTGTCGTCATACAATAGATCTACCTAAAAATATCTTTAAGTTAGGTCTGGAGAACGTATACAAGCTGTCTACGTTCTCTAAGTCTAGCGTTCAGTGCTTCCAAGCGTGGCATCGAATCCCGGTCCCGGAATATCTTTTTTTTCTTCTCCTGAGCCTAAAATTTAAAAAAAATAAAAAATTAGACTAACAGACCAAGGAAAGCCACTATTGAACTTTAACCAGGCCTAAATTGGTAATTTTGGAAAAGTATAGGCTATACTAAGGCCCACTTTGTACAGAGCTCCTCTTGGGGACAAACCATAATGACTAGATAAAAAAAACTACAAGTTATAATTATTTTATGGGAACAATTTGTAGGTCAGTCAAGAAGAGGACCCAAAAAAACCCCAAAAAACTTCCAGGACCGGATTTGAACCCACGCTCATAAAATAATGGTTCGGCCTTCGGCCATTAGAACTTCCATCAACGAAAGGTAGATTAAGCTTCATAATACTTCATTTAACACACAGTGCTTTATTTTTAGCACTGGCGCTAATCGCAACGCAGTGTTGCAAAAAGGCACTTCCAACACTGAACGAAGCCGGAACTACTTTTGAGCCTCGCTGTGCAATGCCATACAATGCTCCACTCTTATATTATTGTTTTGCATTTAGGCCTAGCCTATGTTTGTTTTTAAAAATTATTGTTGTTGCCAGGGAAACAAGCCCCGCTGAAAGTGAAACCCCCCACTAACAGGGGCGCAAGCCAAACCTGATACATCCCCCTGTTGTTTATGGCTAGTGCGCATTAATACAGGTAGACACGGTGGGTCCACCAAAGTTAAATCCGTCCGTCTATTTTATTGAAAGTGGCTATTCTCACCCGCCCGGAAGTTCTCGCAAGATCAACTCTTCCCCTCTTCTCTCTCTCTGTCTCTTTCTGAATACTGTCTATCGGTGTGGACGATCAAATTGACCAAAACAAAGTTTAAAAATGATGTTAAAACACAAAAGTAAATTAATTTGGTTGTCTACAAAGATGCTACGGCTATTTAACTTTTCGAATCGAGCCGAACTACGCGGGTCGCCATTTTGTTTTGCCCGGAAATTCTCGCGCTACTCCTCTCTCTCTTTCTCTCTCTCTCTCCACTGCCCACAGACAAAATTGTACGCTTTTAGTAGGCTACAGTTGTAATGGAACGTTTGTTCACGGCACAGAATTCTACAATTTTTCTGTTATGACAGTGTAGAATTCTGTGGTTTAGGGTGAACGCAAAATTTGGTGAACGCGCACCGGGTGAGAATAGCCACAAGACTCGCCTGCACTATTCTCACTCCGGGTGAGAATAGAGGTGGCCATTTTATTATATAAAACTACAATCTATATTTTTCTAGATCTAGATTCTAGATCTAGATTCTAATTCTATTTTTTATAATAGTTTGGCTTTGGCATGTAGGCTGTAGACATTCTAGGCCTACTGAGTTAGAATCTAGCTTTCTTGACTTCGTCTGCTGAAACTACTGACGTTGGGGCATTGGATGACTGAAATGGCTTGGTTGACATTTAATTAATTTTTTGAAAAGTCTAATAAATTATTTAGTTTACCTGTTTTTACGAATATGAAAGACCCTAGACGATCTTTCCCTTCTAAAAAGGACATGGTCCCCTTCCTGAATGCCTGACGACATGCTTGAGAAATGAAGACTGAAGACAAATTAGAAAGTTGCGAAAAAATATAAATCCGAAATGCAACGAGAACACCGCCGGAATATGGAAAATAAAAATTCGCATAATTAAAATCCTGTCAATTTTCTTAGTGCATTACTAGGCCTATAAGAAAGTTTAGTTTGAAGGCTTCACTTGGAAAGATAAAGGTTCAAAAACAGATTTTTTTTCAGTTTGAAAGGAGCATTTACTTTAAGAGTTTTAGGGGGAAAAGAAATTATGTTTATTTTTTTTATTTTTTTTTAGTGACAGATTTTAAGAATTCTGTATGATCTACAAAAAAAGTCCTAGCTGTTCCCAAAACAATTAAAAGTATTTTGATCTACTAAGTGTATCATTCATACCAGGAATATATTATTTCTCTAAATAAATAATAATAGTTCATCAAAAATAGTTTTGTCTTCAAATGGTATCGAACAGTACAAAAATATGATATTTTCAACACTGGTGTATTTTGTGCATTTCTACGGTGCACAATTTGACATTTACTGAAGTAACCGGTGTAAACAACAACTATTTCCTAATAAGGGGTCTACCTTGGAAATACCTTATCTTTGACTTTATCTTGTTGTTAAAACTTGTTACTGACTAGATCTAAGTCTAAAGATTGGGGATCCCTCGCACTATAGATTTTTTTTTTTTTACAGATCTGGTTGCTTGTGCAGTTAAGGAATGACATAGGTGTGTATTGGTTTGTCAGGTGTTTCCTTGCCTTGTTAAAAGTTTGTTAGTAACTTGTAAGTTACTAGATTCTAGAAGGGAGTGTATACAGACCCGGTAACCGGGAACAAAGTCACAAAGTATACAGACCCGGTAGGCGAACTCATTTGTGATTTCGGAAAGTTCTCTCTTGGCTCAGGGTAGACTTAGGTTCTTCTAGATCTATGGCCTAGGTCAGACATAAGTCATTGATCTAGTTTCGAGGTTAGCCTAGATCTAGATCTAGATATCTAGATTTAAATGAAAATTGCGAATGTCTTTTCGATGAACCATCGTTTTTTCCTCCGTTTTTTGGAGTTGGAGGAATCACAATTTGAAGAAAAGAACAATGTCATAATTTCAATCGAGCAGTCACGCTCTCTCTGTCTCTCTCTCTGTGTCTCTCTCTCTCTCTCTCTCTCTCTCTCTCTCTCTCTCTCTCTCTCTCTCTCTCTCTCTCCTCTGTCTCTGTGTATCGCTCACATTCTCTTTTCCTTTGTTTGTCTCTGTCTTTCTTTCTCCCCACCTATTTCCCACTCTATCTGTCTCTCGTTCCCTCCTGTAAACTGGGGCATGTCATATGCATTTTGCTAGCATTTCCCTATGCTCTCTCTCTTGCTCTCTCTCTCTCTCTCTCTCTCTCTCTCTCTCTCTCTCTCTCTCTCTCTCTCTCTCTCTCTCTCTCTCTCACTCACACACACACACACATACACACACACACACACTACCGGGTGTGGGCGCGGAAACTTTCCGACATAACAAAAGAGTTCCCCTACCGGGTCTGTATACTTTGTGATTTTGTTCCCGGTTACCGGGTCTGTATACACTTCGTTACTAGAATCTATACTCAGTACAAATAGGGACCAGTCAGGTAAGTATTGTTTTCAAAAAATCATTTTTTTAAAAGTAATCAGATTTATCTAGTAAAATTGGAGAGCAAGGCTAAGGGGTCAATAGTGATTCACTATCACTGTATGGGTGGTACGTTTGCGGCATGCTTGACGCGTGAGAAAATCTGTAATTTCGGCAAAACTGGACCGAGTTTCAAACGTCAGTGAGCGATATGTGGAGCTTCCTGCACGGCAAAAATGAGATGCAAGTGGAAGAATGCACCTCTGGCTATGAACTGTGCTCAATTGTTTTACCGCCGTTTCAGCTCTGTTTTACAGTATTACAGCGCCAGGCCACATGCGACCACGACAAAAGTTGAACAACTTTGACAGGACGCAGGGGTAAATTTTTACTTTCACACCCACTCACAGATGGACTACTTCGGGGGTCAAACTGCTGTTCTGTTTGCTGCAGATCACACAAAAAGCCAATAAAACTGTTGCAAATCAATTATTTTCTGGAAAATTTCAAATCTGACTGTAAAATTTAAAATTATGGGTTAAAACAGGGGGGAATCCCCTTTAACCCCCCAGATTTTCTTTTACCCCAGTGGGCAGGCCCCCCTGGAACCCCCCAATTGGTCCAAAGCACTTCTTAATCTATCTCTATTACGAACAATCAAATATTTCAAAAACTATTAATTTGCTACGGAAATGAAGTTGATATTCGTGTTCAGCGCCTCAATATTTAGTAGAAAATGGACAACTGGTAGCTAAGTGTGAGACGGGAGGCAAAGTAAAAAAATACCGACCCGGGCAATTGCTGGCTGCAGGATGGAGTTGGCGTACGCGAAGTGTCAGGCAGACTTCAGATGTCACACTCCACCATCATACAGCTGAGGCAGCGGTTCGCAGTGACAGGAAGAGTCCAGGAACAGTGTGGCTCGGGTTGTCTCAAGAAAACGACAGCAAGAGAGAATCGCTACATCTAACACCAAGCCATACAGCAGCGGACTAGCTCTGCCAGTGTCATCAGGCGACGTCTGTGAGCTGCCACCAACACCACAGTCTGTTCGCAGACAATACGTAATCGCCTTCATGACGTTAACCTTTGTGCGGGTCGTCCAGTCAGGAAACCTAAACTAATCCAGAACCAGCAAGCCAGCCGTCAAATCTGGTGCACTGCACACCTGAGGTGGACGTGTGCCCAGTGGACAGAGCTCCTGTTCACTGATGAATCTCAGCTTTGTCTGACACCCAGTGATGGCCGAACTTGCACCTGGAGGCATCCACCGGAGCAGCTTGCTGCCAATACAGTTCAAGAAGTGGTCCTGTTTGGAGGCGGCTCCTTTATCATTATGGTTTGGTGGGGGGGGGGGGAATCAGCAGGCATCACAGAACCCCCATTTACCATTTCGATGGTAACCTGAGAAGGCAGTGGTATCTGCAGGAGATCTTTCGACCTCAGGTCATCCCGGCGCTGCAGCAGACTGGGCCTGCTGCTGTCCTTCTCTCTCTCTCTCTCTCTTCTGGCGCTGTGGCGTCATAAAATAAACGGTCAGCGATGCCGACAGCATGCAGGAACTCAACACTTGCTTGAGGGTCCTTGAGAAGTGCTGAAAGTAGGTTACTGAAATGTCTCAGCAGACGAGTTCCGGCACGATAGTTGACGGGACATCTCAGGAACACATGGTCCATAGTCTCGTCTTCCTTGCAGGCTCGACAGGATGGATCTGGGTTGTCTGCTGGTGCAATTTTGTGGAGATATGATCTCAGCTTGGGCGATTTTCCAACAGTTCTCATTTGGGAGAGAAGCTGGTGGTCCTGTCGTCTGAGCGAGGCCTCAAGGTAGTATGATGGCGGCTGGGCAAACGGCAATTTGGGTTTCGCCTCTCTTTTCCTTCAGAACGAGAACGCCATGTCGCACAGGTCCAGGGCAGTCAACGCCTTCATGCAGCAGGCGGGGATTACCTGCATGGTTTGGTCAGCCAATAGTCCAGACCTCAATCCTATTGAACAGTTGTGAGCTGAGCTTTGTTGGAGAGTTCGGGAGAACCACCCTTTGCCCACCAACCAACAGCAGCTGCTTGGATGGCTGCAACAAGAATGGAACATCATTCCCCAGACCTTTCTGGCACACCTCATCAACTCTATGCACTAGCGGTACCTTGACTGCCTTGCCATAAATATTGGGCACACACGCTTCTGACAACTCCTTTGACATTCATGAACTTAAACTGGTCGTTTTCTTAGATATTGCTGAGACTTTTTGAGACCCTTTCTTTTGTGTTTTTCGATTTTGAGGGTGGGTCCCTTTTGAACTCTGGGAATTACTCATTTTAGTTTCGACTGTGATGAAATATCTGTTTTGCACATATGGATTGATAAATGAAATGTCATGTCAAAGAAGGAATCATTTGATTTGCTGGTTTTTATTTTGCGTGCTCTTTTGCAAGTGGTTCATAACTTTTTGTGAAGACTGCAGATCTACTCAATACTGGCTGGCACTGGCAGGTGGTCAACAACAATCACTAAAATAATAATGATAATAATATCAGTAGGCCTACTCAGTAGTCCTGCCTAGCCTATACCAGGGTCGGCTACCTTCAGCCTTTAGGCTGGTTCTGGCTTAATGTGAGTTACTGTCCAGTCTAGTGTCCCTCTACTTAGTAAATATCATCTGGCCTGAGAGCTTTTTTACTGACCGTGTATTGTTTCATTCATAATTGCAAAAAGACACTCCTAGACTGGCGAACAGAGACCAATGTTATTGTTAGCATTAGCATCATTTAATGATGAGATGCCAACATACCAACCTAGATCTCCCCATATTGCAAATAGTTGTGTCTAGTTTGTTTACACATAGGCCTACCTGCTTAGAAATTAGTTCCAAGTTCTCTCCCGTTCTCACTGACTTCTATTATATTGTCAGTTGCAACAAAAGCATAGTTTCTTACTGTAGGCATATTATTTCCCTGTGCCCAGTATGTGATTGCAATGCTGGATCGCCCTTACTCCTGTGAACAGCTGTTTTTAAAGATGAATTTTTGTAAAAACAGGCTGCACTCTTGGCTCATTGATGATTACCTCAAGTAATCTTTAGTACCTGACCTTGCTTCTTTCTTGAAGAGCATGATACAACATCAAATTTCTTATTAATTGCCAAAAAACAAAACAATAAAGACTAATGATTACTTGTTCAGTGTGTACAGGGTATGTATTTCTAACACTGATGTATTGATTTTTTGGAAATCATGACTGAGATTTTAATTTTTGCCTTTGCGAATGTGCTTAGGAGTGTATGGATATGTTTGTATGCTAAGTTTTTAATGTTTGTGTGTGTGTGTATGCTTTTGTTTATTTGTTTGTGTGGGTGTGTGTGTCTGTGTGTGTATTTGTTTGTTTTTACATAAGTCTGTTTGTGTGAGTGTGCTTGTGTGTGTGTTGGTTGAATCTTTGAGTGTGCAAGTGAGATTTGTAGTTTGTAGATATTTTCTGCGTAGGCCTACATGTCCACCACGAGAATGTGGTATTATGTCATGTCTCAGAGAGAGAGAGAGAGAGAGAGAGAGGACGTTTATGGTTTGCTGTATTAACATAAATTATAAAATGTGTCATACATTTTCTTTCTTGTGTCTTTTTTTGTCTCTTTAGCACAATGACCTTTGAACTTCTTGCCTTGCACAAAGACAAGCACCTGACTGATGCTTGTGCTGAGATCCTCAACAAAGAATGGCCACGGTCAATGGCAGCCAGGTAATAATAGAGTCAAACCTGCTTTAACGGCCACCTATCCACGACAATCACCTTTACAATCAATCACTTCCCACTTCCTCATTACTTTTTTTTGTATTTTATGATGATGCTTTCTGTGAAGTCCACCTGTTTACAACAACCATTTTTCTCTTTGACAATGAGTGGCCATCTTGGACAATTTTAACTGTACATTTATTATTTTGGTCCGAAGTACAGTATAATGTGTATAAAAAGGCTGTTCTGCTAAGATATAGGTTTTTGCTCAAACCATTTGCTGTGGCAGATACTACAATGTATTGTGTGGAGAGAGTGAGGGCTAAGCTTTTATCACACTTGAAATTAGACATAAAATAATATACAGTATACACACACACATGTAGTATAGTACAGCAGACATTGTTTAACACGAAACCATTTAGCACAAAATTTCTCTTACAATGACAGGACTTCAAATGCTGAGTCCCCCCCCC